TTCGCTGGTTTTTTGACTTATTCTGTCACTGTAGGTATCCAGTGGTAATTAATATGCCTAATCCAAAAGCGCTTGCTTGCCACTGATACTCGCTCACTCTCTCCTAGTTCTACCATCTATCGCTCTTCTTATCCTCTTTACAATTTTGCAGATATTCGTCTTAGGCTCCTTGTCACTTTTGCGCAGATCTTGAGCCTGCTAGGATACACTCCTTGTCTCTCCATCATACATTCCCCTGGAAAGCATTTCACTTACCTTCTCTGGTTTGTTGATGCATTCTATGATCCTGTAGGCGTAAACTAGGGATCAAGCGTTTTGTTGGAATGGCTACACCTGGCTACCGGTAATCTTTCCTAGCGCCACGATCGGTGGATCAGTCTAACTTCGGCACCTCTGTTTAGTAACCAGCTAGTGGTCGTACGCCTCATGCAGCTGCAATTATCCTGAACCTTTATTCCTTTAGACTATCTGCATCCAACCTTTCCGCCAATTTAACTTTAAATCTTCCTTGAGGCAACCTATTTAGCTCATTAGCACCCTAGCATAAGTTGATTATCTGCGCGTCGCTGTGTCTTAGTCTCTATGCTCCGAACTATCTAACAGCAGTATTGTATGCTTGCGCATCCTCCGTTCGCTGTTCTTTCTTCATGAAACCTTTCTTAGCTCTCTTCTGTGGGGCAAACATAACTCACGTGGTCTGTGCAAAGCTGCTCCTTAGCCTCTCTCTTCTAGACCTTCATTTATTCAATACTCGCTCCTTGCTCAGCCGTCACGTACTCGTCTGGTGACACCCAATTAAGTGTAGTTCAGCCTCCTCACTGGCTTCTCCCTACTCCGGCTTCCTTGGATTATTCCATTAGCACCACAGCATGATTTCATTATCTGCGCGTCGCCGCGTCTTAGCCTTTTATGCTCTGAACTATTCAACAACCATATCGTATGCTTGCGCTTCATCCGTTCGCTGTCCACTCTTCATGAAACCTTTCTTAGCTCTCTTCCGTGAAACAAACATAACTCATGTGGTCTGTGCAAAGCTGCTCCTTAGCCTCTCTTTTCTAGACCTTCATTAATTCATTACTCACTCCTTGCTCAGCCGTCACGTACTCGTCTGGTGACACCCAATTAAGTGTAGTTCAGCCTCCTCACTGGCTTCTCCCTACTCCGGCTTCCTTGGATTATTCCATTAGCACCACAGCATGATTTCATTATCTGCGCGTCGCCGCGTCTTAGCCTTTTATGCTCTGAACTATTTAACAACCATATCGTATGCTTGCGCTTCATCCGTTCGCTGTCCTTCCTTCATGAAACCTTTCTTAGCTCGCTTCTGTGGAGCAAACATAACTCATGTGGGCTGCGCACAGCTGCTCCTAAGCATCTTCTTTTTAAACGTTCATTTATCCGCTTCTCACTGCAACGCCTCTGACAACTGCTCATGTAGAAGTCCAGACTTTTCACTGGCATTTTCCAGCTCGGTATACCTTGGCACCCTAACAGGACTTCAGTATCCACGCGCCCCAGGCTCCTGTGCTGCGACGTCCTCAGTAAACTTAATGTATGCATGCATTCTGCCTGGTTGATATCCTTTCTTCATGTAAACCTTTTTAGCTTTCTTCTAACACCCCTTCCTAACTTATGAAGTCAGCGCACAGCCGCTTCCAGCCTCTATATTCTAGACGTTCTCATATCTCTTAATCGTTGTAATCACTTCGATTTTTCCACCTGCAAACGTCCAGCTCTCGGACTAGCTTTCCCTGGCTCTATCCAAAGTAGTATTATCCCAGCACCCTAGCATGAATTGTGTACCTACGCGCCGCCGTGCTTCAGCCTTATATGATGTGACTCCCACAGTAAACTTAATGTATGCTTGCATTCTTCCTGTCTGCTATCCTTTCTTCATTCAACCTTTTTAGCTCTCTTCTGGCGACCTTCCTTATCTCATCAGGTCAGCGCACAGCCGCTCCTTGCTAGATGCTCAGCTGTCACTTACTCGTCTGTAACACCTAGTTAATTGTAGTTCAGCTCTCTCACCGGCTTTTCCCAGCTCAAGCTACCTTTGTAATATTCCATTAGCACCCTAGCATAATTTGATTACCTGCGCGTTGCTGCGTCTTAGCCTCTTATGCTCTGAACTATGTAACAACCTTATTGTATGCTTGCGCTTCTCCCATTCGCTGTCCTTCCATCATGAAACCTCTCTTAGCTTTCTTCTGTCGTGCAAGCATAACCCATGTATTCAGCGCAAGCCGCTATTTTGCCTCACATTTCTAGATGTTCATTTATCCCTTACTCGCTTTAATGTCTTAGACTTTTTTACCTGCAATCCTCCAGCTCTCGGGCTAGCATTCCCTGGCTCTATCCAGCTTGGTACTATTATCTTAGCACCCTAGCAGGACTTGATTTTCTGCGCGCTGCTGCGGTTAGGCCTCATGCTCTGATATCCTCAGCAACCTTAATGTACGCTTGCATTCCGGCTATTCGCTGCCCTTCCGTCAATTAACCTTTCTTAGCTTTTTAGTTCCTCACTCCTCTCATCTAGTCAGCACACAGACGCCCGTTAGCTTCTCATTGCTAGGTGTTCAGTTATCACTTACTCGCTGCTATGTTTGCGACACTTATGAGTCTAATATACTCACTGGCTTTTCCTGAATCAGCATACCTTAGTATCATATTCTTAGCATCCTAGAATGACTCGTTTCTCTGCGCGACGCTGCGTATATATTTGTTCCGCACGTTCGCTTTCCTTTAACTGATCTTTATTACTTCACTTTTATCGATCAATCCTTTCTCACCTAGTCAGCACATCCGCTACTTAACCAATCCTTTGTAGGTGTTCTGTTTCCGTTTGCAGCAAAAGTTTCGACACTTACTTATGTAGGAGGTTAGCTCTCTCACAGGCTTTTCCATCTCAGTCGGCCATAGCACTATTCTCTTAGTACCCTCGTGTCGTCTTTCTGTCTAGATCCCCCGAACATTTTACTCCGCGCTTGAGTCCTATCTTTCCGCTGCTTTACCACCAATTGACCTTTGAATCTCTTTCGTCGCAAGCTATTTATATCTTTACTTACTTATTCTGCGCTCCCTATCGAAGTAGGCCGACTACCAGCTGTTCATCCACCATTGAATCGCCGCTGGTCTTTGAATTCTGCTTTCTGTCTTCCCACGCAATAGTTGCATCATAGTAAACCGATACTGCGTGGTTTGCTTAATAGCGCGACGCTCTGTACTCCATGTAGATGGTAGCAATCTACCTATAAGGCCACTGCTTTTCATAGAACGTTCAAAAGACACTTTCAGCACAATCATTGTTGCACATTGTACATCATTTTGTCTCCACTCTAAATGTTATAACATAGGACTTTAACAATGTTTACATGCCTGTTCTTTGCGGCCTTGGTTGTCTCTCACCTTCCCTTTTCTCCGAGGTCCGGAACTTCTTGAGGATCTGGGATTGGACCGAGAAAGTTTTTGCCAGGGACAAGACATAACAACCCACAAGGGCCTACAAAGAACATGGCTGTACAACAAATGGATACAACTGCACTCACTACCACGACCGTTGTCCAGTAATGATAGCTGGACACGATGCCTTCACATTCCTGTAAAGTATACATAACCTGACAAATCCAGACACAAGAAACTGACGTTTTGTTCACCTGGACACTCACAAAGACGACTCTTCGTGAATCGCCAATCCTCCATTGGCCTCAGCGATTATGGCGGCCCTGACCAAGATATCTGCTCAACTAACAGAGGAAATTGGAAGTCAATTGACTGCGGATAACCGAGTGTGAAATCAGTCGGCAAGCTGCTCTGCCAGTTGTACAATAGTGTACAAACGGATTTCTGACAGTGTTCCAGGACGTGGTGGGTTTTCGCCTGGCAAGCGTTCTCCCTATAAAAGCCACAAATGTCCGTTTAACAACACTGCGATGTGGCGGATGTGACTCGCCAATGAATAAAGTCACTGCCCACAACTACATACTGGCAAGTCGACTAGAATCATAATTCAATATTTTCTTGACAGTTCAAGAATAAGATACTCCCTGCCTACATGTATCGTTTTCAGTACACATATAGTGCCCTGACTGTTTGCACTACGCAAGCTAGAACCCAACGTATCGTCATTCATTGACGACTTTATTCCTCATGATTACTTTTACAATTTCCGCAACCTGTACAACTTCGGTTTACTGCCGATTACATACATAGCAACGTGTTTGTTGCGAAACATAATTGCATGTAAATGTTGATCATGCCTGGTTTGGTGTGTCTCGATAAATTCGAGAATAAACTATTTATTTATTTAAAAGCTATCCTTTTACTGCATCCGGGCTGCAGTCTGTAAGGGCGTAGGTGGAGAAGACAAACAAAGCTCGCTTAACGTCTCGACGCCTGCTTACATGACATGGAACCCTTAATCGGACTGCGTATAGCCGACTGTTAACTGGGGTGCAATTAAGCAGAGCTGATTCAGCCCTGGCACTGTGCAACCTCAACACCAGCTTGATCAGAGACGGCAGCTTCTGAGTCTCCGGAAAGCCGCAAGTGGTATTTGGCGTCAGGGTTTAACGGCGCTAGAGTCTTGTAATCTGGTCTCTGAAAGGCCACAGATGTCTACCAAGAGCGTTTCAAGAGTACAGGCCAGACATGCTTGTCGTCCGATCTGCAGCAAAGTACAAACATTAAACGCTACAAAGATGAATGGAGAACCAGGTCGAAGAAGAGCTGGAGCTTCGGTGGAGTGAGAGACGGTTTCGGGAGTTTGGCCGTTACATCCATCAGTTGCGAGACGTGGGTCGTTTGTGACGGTGACCGAAGAAGATATAAGAGAACATATAGGTGAAAGACGGGAGGTGGAGATCTGTGAGTGGAGGTTAAGGAGTTGAGTTAGCAGAGATGATAGGCATAGCAAGAGCAGTGTGGTTCATGATTCGTCAGTAGGCGAGATAATACCCGGTTGCCCAGGTCGAAGTAGAGGGTTGTCTTAGGGGATCACTTACCAGTCGCCGACCTAAAGGATCAATTTCACCGGGCAAGAGTATGTTTTCGTATATAATACTCGCCAGAATGTAGAGGGATTGTCCCCAAATATGAGGCAAGGTCCCCATCGGTATACGATCTTGTGAGTGCGGATTGGACAATTCAGCGTCAATCCGGTCCGCCGGTACAGCGTAAGTTTCGGGCATCAAAACCGGCGCCGATAGAGTGCTTGAACTGGTAATTTCACTGGTGCGACGGGAAGCTGGTTTTTCGAAAGAAGCCGGACCTTCGACGGATGTAGTTGTCTGTAAAACACCATGGAAAAATTTTCGACGTAAGTCAAAAACTAAAAAACAACTTCGTGGGAAAGTAACCACACAATTCGGCGATTGGACAAAAAGGACAAGTTTGTTCAATAGTTCAATAGGTGCGTTAACCGTAAGGTTAGACACGTACACTCCAACCATTCGTTTGCTTAAGCCGCATCGATATCTCTAGTATTTGTGTTATATTTAGTATTCTCATTGCAGACAACTATTGGAGGAATCAGAGATAATTCGTCACAGTCCACTCACAGTAAGGGCTTTGGCATTTCTGGAAAAATACCAGACAGCGCTGTTTCGACCTTCTGGGTCTCGTCAGTGGTGCGCTTCCCAGCGGATCCCTGCCGGGTTCCGCCCCCATGACTTCAGGATGCCAGCAGCCGGTGCCACTTCGCCATGGGTGACAGCCGCGAACCTGGAAGATTGACAGTTGACTGTGATATAGCCCTGCTCATGTTCCACTGCCATGCCAGTTACTAACTGTGCAGAAGATAGCAGTTAGTCCCACGAGCTAGGACTTTTCACACAGCACTTAGAAGCTATATGGACGAATTTCCAATTACTAATGACGAGTGTTGAGGGAGTATAAAAGAGCAAAGTAGGTGAAAGAGTAATGAAAAGGGAGTAAAGTCGTTAAATTGTGGTAAAAGCAATGAACTGGGTTCAAGCGTGCCAGTAACCAAACAAATGAGTCTTGCTTGAATGATGTGACTATTCCGGCAGGCTCACATGCAATGAACGAGTCTCACCAGATACGTAGTCAAAGCATCCCTAACTTTCCTATCAACTTAGGATTTGGCAAAATCCGAAGAGAAACGTAGGCAAAAAACAAGGTGAAGATAAGCACAGCTGGCAGACATGCGAATGACGTGCATTGATAAGGATGGTGTAAGTTGAGAAAACCATCCACTGTGGTATCGGGGATTCCGACCCCAACCGACAACAAGCGGACCACTCATTCAGTGGTACCAATAGGCAGTGGTGCTACGGAATGACCGATGAACAAACAGGAGCAGCTTTCTGCGTCGTCAATGCGCAGTCGTTATGTTTTCGAGTGTAAAGATGAAATATGCCGTGTCGCAGCGCCATACACCATAACTTCGGCCGAGAATTTAGCAAGCTGTTGCCTCAGCAATTTACTGAGACTGAAATCTGTACAGGGAGGATTGTACTACCACTTGAGCGAAACATCAACTGCTCATTCTACGACTGTTAGCTGGGCACAATGGAACAATGGTTTTGAACGGTTAAACAAACATGTACCGAAAGATGGTTGTGGTGAAAATTCAAAATATTGTAAAAATGCGAACAGACGTGGGTTCACACAGGTGGAGTCAACGCGGTATATGTACTGTAATCTGTAAATGCATAAGGAATGACAAATGGGATGCTGGTAAAAATAATGTCGTCTCATGGTGAAGACAGGAGGTGAAAAAGGTGGGACTTATTCCGGGTTTGACGGGCAGTGAAATCTCCTCTTCTTGGTTAGAGATGAGCAATGAGTCATGTGAGATCGTGCTGTGAAAGGACTGCACGGTCAACTCGGGCTTTGATCTCTACCAGCACGGGAGCATATTTGATAGATTCCGGTGGGGAATTCCACGTTTAGTAAAAACGTACGGAAAAGAAATTCCGATGGCATTCCAAAAGACTGTACTACTGTGCCAGCTTGAGACAGTGTCCTCTCAGACTACTGTTGTCACTGAACTCCACCAAATGGTGGTAGGTGGGGTTTGGATCTCCCAAAATCCGGTAAATCAAAATAAGGTCCCCATGAAATCGCCAGCATTCTCTGCTGAAGACCCCGGGACACGCAAATCCCGAATGTTTGCTTAGGGCATTAATGCTTTCCGGTAAGTTCCCCTTCTATCCCAAATAGTATTTTTCGTTCCGTAGGTCGTTATGGTTGTATGGCAGCGAAGCATCAGTTCAAATGGCTGATGTACTGCTGTTGATAATGATTGAACATAACGCAAATGATACAGGCCTTCCACAAGGCGGTGAGATCTCTCCTCAGCCATGGCTGCCAGACCTGTATTGCGTATTCCATATGTGGACGTATGTATGAGCTGAGAAGCTGTTGAAAAAGTAAAGGGTCGAATCGTCCGAATGAACGCATTAGGAGGTTCAGATGATAGATGACCTTTCTTGACCCATTTTCAGCTTGATTCGAACAATTAAGATCAGCCTTGATCAAAACGTTTTGCTCGTTTTCGCCAGAAGTGGTTTAAAGCTCCTGGTTGCCCAGATTGTAGCAGTCCTCCAGTTGGTATCATATATGTAGCACATTAGCTTTCTTCACATTAAACCGAAGTAGAGTATGAGTTGACCACGCGCAAAACACATCCAGATCGGCTTGAAATAGTATGATCTCATCTAGTGCATTGATCGCCCTCTAAACTTTGATGTCATCGGCAAACTGCAAGCCGTGCGAGCATATGAGGCGTGTGATATTGTTGACGTATGCCAAAAACAACCGTGGCCGCAATACCGAACCCTGTGGCACTCACCATTCAATTTGGATGGAGCTGATAAGGATGAATGTGTTCTTACCTCCAAACGCCGGTGCAGGAGAAAACTTCTGATGCACGCTAGGAAAGGATCACCAATACTAAAGGTGTGGAATTTGAAGAGTAAGATGACATGGTCTAACCGGTCGAATGCCTTTGATAAGTCAAGAAAAATTACATCAACTCCTAAACCAGCGTCTACTGCTTCCATATAGCTGGATCGCGCAAACAGTAGATTTGTATATCACGATGGTTTCCGTCGAAAGCCATGCTGTTCTAGTGCAGGGTAGGTAAATTCTTATAAGTAGGCCGTCGGCGCATCAGAAATAATAGCTTACATGGCATTTGAAAGTACCGGTAGCATGGTTCATCATCATCATCAATATACACATTAGCTAGAGGTGTAAAAGACCACAGCTACTGTGCCGCAATACATAAAATAAAAGAACGGAAAAATGAAACAGATGCAAGCCAGCTGAGCCACCTGTAACGGATGGGCACCGTTCTGGTAAGCTACCAGCCGGCTACTATGCAGCAAAAATATTACCATGCAAAATTATATAAGGCTAAGCAGCGAGATCGTGATTGGATGGGGAGGCTAAGATGGATGGGGTGGGACAAAGAAACTCACAGCCCGAACGCCAATGAGGTCGGCTCCTCGCCATGTCAGCAAGTGTATCTAACCAAACGTGTTCATCATCTTTCGGACCCCAACCAAGAAGCCGAGACGCTCCAATCGAGGCCATCTTCGAAGTGAGGGCCTTCATTTCTCTCGATCGTCGTCGATTGGCCATCCCTCCTCTTCTTCTATCCACACGCCCGGCGCGCAAACAACGCATGTCGCGGAAGTCGGTGGGCTGGCATGCGTAACACGTGGCCGAGCCATCGGAACTTGGTGCGTGAAATAGCGGCACTGAGCGGTCCATTTCCTTTTCCTGTGCCGTAAAGAAGGCGTCGAACACGCTCGTCGCTCACTCAGTGTTCCCACCAGATGTGAGCCAAATCGCGAAGAAACCGATGGGCGAAGGTAACTAGCCGCTTTATGTCCACTGACCTATAGGGCCAGGTTTCACAACCGTACAGTAAGGTCGAACGTACCGCTGCACTGTACACTCTACCCACTTGCTGATATGGCTAGGATCTGGTCCCAGTGGCGTTTGTGTTGTGAGTTCCTTTGTCCATCCCCCTGCTTAGCCTCCCCCTTCAATCAAGATCTCATTCGTAAGGCATAACTATTTTGGCGGTACGATAGCTGGCTGCTAGCTCTCCGGAACGATGTTTATCCGTTACTGGGGATTTAGCCGGCGTGCTACTGTTTTGTTCTTCTTGTCTTTTGTATTGCGGCACAATGGCTGAGGTGTTTTCTACCTGCCGCTAAAGTGTATTAAAAAGCCCATCGTGATAGATCGGCGATTAGGTAAAAAAAAACGCCATTCACCAAAATGAGCACCTGTGATAGAGAGGAATTATTCGTAATCTTAGATAATGAGTGCAGGGGAGGAGGAGAACAACGAGCGATAAACAGCACTCGATGGTCTTTCGTCGAACAGTCGAATCGGATAACATGCCAAATACAAACACCAAGCAGTGGCCAAAGACCAAATTCAGCTCCACGAAACTTGCGCAGAGTTCGTGTGAGATCACCTCAGCAATGCTATCATCGTGTGGCGAGTCAAAATGTGCAGGTAATAAATAAACTCTCCTTATGACATTACTGTGTCAAGTCAGAGTGAATCAGCTTGGATCTCTTCAGGACACTGCGGCAGCTACCGCCCCAAGCCGCAATGACATCGACTGAAATTTCGGCAGAACGCAACGTGGCAACTCATGCGGGTTGCTAACATCCAGCTTCTGCTACTGTTTATGTAGCATGCTGTTCTACAATTGGGCTATACAAGTGAATGTGTAGAAATCATGATTTGCCATTGGCTGAGTCAGTAAACGAACACTTGATATCGGCCAGTCTTTCTTCTATGGATACTAATTCAGTCCCAGTGTCAGCTCAAGTGTACGAGGTCTGGCGACTAGGCCACTTAGGTCGAACCGATCTGAATGAATATGTCTACACTGCGCGTGAGGTACTATTGTTGAAGAGCGTTTCTTTCATTCCGACTAGAAGTTGAAACAACTAAGATGTGTTACAGCACTCATGAGGAAAAGTAAACACAATCTTATCTGTGAAAGAGTGTGAAACATATCTGTGTAACTTACGTCGCGAACAACAACGTCCTGTAGCATTTTCATGTAATGGTCGGCGTCATCGTAGTCTTGACGAAAACAAGCATCCAGCACAAACCATGCGAGGAACATTGGCCATTCGCACTCGATTCCCTCAAACAGACGTAGCTCCCACGGCTCATAATACAACCGGTTAGAATCCTCACGAGCCGTCCGGAAACCATCTCGAATAAACCGCCGACATCCGTACCTGCAGGTTAAAAATAGGTACCTCTCGATGACACCGGCCCCAACCAATGCAAAAGGAAACAATGAAATAAAAATTTGTGTTGGTCAATAATTCGGCGTAACGCATTAACCCATGTGGCTGAGCAGATCGATATTCAGGCCCCTGTATACCTGATGGTTAGCTACATCAACAAGCGATGTAGGTGACCCGACGAAATCGACAAACAGTTTTGAAAAATCATTGAAGCGCGACAAATGCAAGTTATTCCGTCTATTTCTGTCCGATGAACCGTCAAACGTGGTGAGGTAAACTGCCTTAAGCAAAGGAGACGCAATAAGACGACCCCACAAAAGAATAATGACAATAGAAGACAATATAACAACGAAGCAAATACAGCCAAGTAGAAGCGTCGTAGGAGCCCCTGTAGGTGAGTCACAGGGAGGGCAAAAAAGTTCGAAACGTCTCTCATTCAATGCACCACTTCTGTCCAGTAAACTTCGCTTCGGCGACTAAGATATGCGCGCATATTGCGATGGACTGAACTGCCGTGCGTTGTGATTCTCGTCTACCAGATTTAGCAATACAAATGTGATTTCTTTATTTCACTAACACTGTGTCTTAATTCATCACTTTCTCGTTGTGCAAATCGTGTCATGATTACCCACAGTCACATGTTAACAAATGTGAGTCTTCTCGCGAACATGAAGATATCACTTTTCCCTGATCAGTCTATTTAGAACAAATGGATAAGAATAAAAAAGAGACAAAATAGTTCCACAAAAAGCACCGCATAGAATGGAGGGTTGTACTTCGAAGGAAAATACTATCATATGAGCATACCCAATTTGTTAGGCACCAAATATCCACTCACTTGCGGGAAAATTGAAAGAGCTCAAAGTACAGTAAATTGTCGTGTATACTCTCGACTTCGTATCAGTAGACTTCAAGGAACTTGACTACACGATCACGTTAGATACATTTGTGGCACATGGCGGATATACAGCGCATCGCGTTGACCGCCTACGTGCATCCAGGTGCCGTGGTGGTGGTGTCACTACATACGTAAATCATTCATAGTGCAGGGCGGTAAAAATTATTTTTTGTCCACGCACAGCGTATTAGTTGTTCCCTTGTGAAATGCAAGGCACGATGAGCTTCTATCGTCCAAGTCTACTGGTGAACAATTTTACTTCTGTTAGCCGTACTGCAGATGAAGATAACTTGAATAATGATTTCACAACTTCCGTCATCGAAACTA